AAGGGTAAGAGAAAACGGAGTATAAAGGCTGTTCAGGACTGACACAAAGCCAGCCTTTCATCCTTTCATCACAGCTCTCATACTTTAGGGTGTTGACAGGAGATAAAGAGAAGGAAGAGGAAAAGGGAAGAAAAGACTGCAAAATTAGTTGAGGCGAGGGGTGAGGTCCAAGGTATGGGTGATCTAAATTGGGCCTCACTCTGTCTCCTTAGAACCCCCACGACCACAATGAGCTCAATTTCAGTTGACACAGCTTATGAAATCTTTGGCTCTATTGACATTGGAAAAAGGCGGTCTAAGAGGTCTTGTTACATGTTTTACCAGGAAGTGGTTTGTTTGCTTGGTCCTAACACCAAGTGTTAGGACCATAATAAGAGTGTTTAACAATCTTAACCTCCACAAGAGCTACTTTCCCTCTCAAATACTCATTTTTCTATTTGAGAGCTTATATGTGAGTTGTTTTGGCCTTACTTCTATATCAGTGCTATATGTACATATGATACTATACAAAGTATAAAGTGAGAGCTTCCATTTCAGCTGAATTATGCTCCCCTCCAGACACACCACCATAGCAATTACTTGTATAAATAAAATCCAATCTGCAATAGTTGTATGACTGCAAGTCAAGGTGAAATGATGTAAATATTAGAAAACCGTTTTATCATTATATTCTATTTTGTTTCTTTAGAATCTTGCAAGTCCACCTAAGTAGTGGCAGAGTGATCATGAGATACGGCAGGCAGTCTTTACTCTCTTCTGCCAAACTCATTTCTTTCATTTAACAGCTTCTCAACTTCATTCTTTATCTAATGGCCAATAGAGGCAAATTTGATGAAAGATTTGACCAAACTACTTTTCAATAACAGAAAAAGAGGGAAGACAAACAACTCCCTGAATTTCTCTGGATGTTTTGGAAATAATCATGAATGCTGTCCTAAAAGGTTTTGCAGTAAAAACAATACTTAACAGGACATACATAAACATTGTCTTTTATTACAAAAAAACATTCTTAAAACTCATTTGGTATACAACTTGAAACTCTGCAATAATATAAACTGTAAAAGATGCTACCACTTTTAAATTATCAATAACATAACATTCAATATAATGAAAACATTTTGATAACACATTTAAAATAAAAACTATTGGCTAACAAGCTTTAGTAAAACTGAAATTTACAGAATAAATAAACATATGTGAAAGGATCCCATAACACTTGCATGAAATTATTTGCAATACCAACAGCCAATCATCCGACTACTATCAAACTGACGATGGCTTTGTACTTTATTTTATGTCAGTGAAGTAAAAGTTCCTGAAAGGTTTGTCTATTTCTAAAAAATATTTGTTACAGGGTACCATAATGAGTGATTTTGCACTTCTAGTTCATGACAACCTTTTGTTAAGAAGTACAGTAAATCCTTATCCTACAAGGAATAGTTCACCAAATGGTGATCTAGAAAGCAGAATAACAGCAGTTTAAGATTTATGAAGAAGAAAATTCTGACATTCAAGAGAATCCTAGCTGCAGATACATGCCGAAGCAGCAAGAGAGTTGGGAAATCGGTATTTAAAATTCTCTTGGTAAAAAGAATACTACACTGATTAATGTATTTTTAAGTATGTGTTTACAGGCACATTGTGGAGCTCTAATCCCTAGAAAATAATCTTGCTAACTCTCAACTATCAAATATTCAATTTTATTGCTTACTCGTCAACAAAATCATCAGAACTGACCTCAGTATCACAGTGAAACCTCTTTTAAGCACTTTCTATGGCCGGAGCCAATGCACCATTCAGATTGCACAATAAAATAATGCATAAATAAAAAATTCAAGGACATATTTGTACTGTAGGTATTATGAAGGACACAAGTATATGAATACAATTTATTCTTCTCTTGACAAAATAAATGGCAGTCTAGAAAAAACTTCGCTCTCCTGTGAACTGTAAAGTGGATTTCCATATATTACCAAGATACAAGTGACAAGGCATGTACTGTATAAAGGACTTTAATGGCAGTGCATTTATGAAAGTATTAATTCATCTTTGAAAGAAAGAAAAGTTTGTTGTTGTTTTTTTGCCACTTATATCATAGACGGGTGTTTCAGTGTATTACACATTTTCCGAGCCAATTCAGATTTGGAATGCTGAATACAAATATGACAAAAAATGCATAGTCTCTACTGTAGACTCATTGTAAATAGGGCTGTACAAATGAGTCAGCACTTAAAAGAGGTTTTACTATAGTACCATACATAAGGTATTAGACTAATACAAAAAAGTCTGCATTTCTTTGTTGCATGGCTTTCCACAGGATTAGTATGCTATGTGCTAATCCTGCACTGTGTTTTATGCATATATATTGTATTCAGTCCTAAACAGGACCTTATTGCATGCCTTAGAATATCAACAAAAATTCAGACATGCACTGCTATGTAATCAACTGACTACAAGAGAGAAAATTATCAAAATTCGACTTTCACTGAAAATATATTAGCTTAAAATACACAGCACCTCATGACTTCAAATGTCAAATAATTGTTTACATGATGAATTGAACTGAAGTGTAGTGATACATCGAATTCATCACTTTATTATACCTATAAGTGTTTTTTGTGCACAGATATAGAGTAACCAAAGTTCCGTAACTGAACAATATTTACAAGTAGCATAAAAAACATACAAAACTAGCGCTAACATGGTCTACACAATTTCAAGTGTAGCTCATGATCTTATCTTTATTTCCAAATGATATTGAAGTTACGCATAATATTCTAATGGTGATGTACAATTTCATTACAATGTAGACTGAATCACTCATGTGTTGGAGCCAAATGGTATAATCTAAATAAATTCATAATTTCCATTACATAATTACATACAGATGTGCCAAACTAAGGCTTAACAAAAGTTTACATAATGTAACAATATTCTAACTAAGCATTTATCAAGCTGTACAATATCATAATGTATCATGGGCCAATGTAGTGGAAGACCAGGCAAAATTGCCAACAAAATGACATTAAAATATTTCATGTGAATTTTTTAAAGTCATCTCATGACAAATGTTCTTTCCTAACAAGAAAATTCAGTGAGATCAAATTTACTTTCAGGATCCAAAACAACTATTTTCTGAAAATATTAATGATACATCAATCTAAAACATACCCATTATGGATTATATGTTAAGCACATACTTGTTTATCAATATTTTCCCACTTTCACATTCACCTAAACTCTCATTCTCAACCCTGAGACGGGACACTTATGCATTGTAAAAATTGTCTTCCCAATGGACGTCACATTCCATCATATGGAATGATGTCCGTAAACTGCAAGCTTTTGGGAGGAATGTGGAAATAACTTTTATTTCTTTTAACTTCAGTGAACTTTGTAAGTAAAAGTGAGTGGAATGACCTCTCTCATCGTTTCATAATTCATAACTTGGGTACCTACATACTTGAACTCTCAACTGGTCACAACTTTTCCACGCTTCTTTCTCCTGACATACACAATTATGCATGATTAAAACAATATTATCAGACACAAGACTCATTATCTACTGCCCAAATCGTGCCATCAGAAAAGGAGTATGTTGAAATGAACTTTACAACCGGTAAAAATCATAATCCTGATGCCGCATACAGTAGAACTCCTGTACTGGAGGAAACTACAAGATCCTGACTTCTTATGGGTCTCTATTGCCATGTCTACAGACAAACTTGCCTCATAAAGACTGGTGAATGTAAGTAACTGTTAAAGAGGTCAATCAGCAAACTAGAATATTTTCCTTGATATTTAGTACACGCTACTTTGACAGCCAGCGAGGAAAACTGATCTGTCGCAAAGTGAAGCCAGGAAACTTTGAAAAAGAGGTTTAACCTGTACAAAATTTGAAAATGACCTTCTTTTAAGATATTACAAAATATCATAAATGCATACAAAAACGATGTACAGTCTCTTAGCTTTGCATTATTTTCTCTAAGTTTCAGAATACATATATCTATACCTATGTATACTTATATATGCATATATTGTTGGATGTATATCTTTATACCTCTGTGTGTGTGTGTGTGTGTGTGTGTGTGTGTGTGTGTGTGTGTGTGTGTGTGTGTGTGTGTGTGTGTGTGTGTGTGTGTGTGTGTGTGTGTGTGTGTGTGTGTGTGTGTGTGTGTGTGTGTGAATGTGTGTGTGTGTGTGTGTGTGTGGTGTGTGAATGTGTGTGAGTGTGCGTGCGTGTGTGTGCTCATGTGTGCATGCACACTTTTATCACCTCCATACCTATTTTCATTGCTTAATAAAATCTATGCAAATGGAATAAATGAATAATGTAAAATGTAAAATGTAAATATGGAGGAAGGGGGAGGGGGAGAGAGAAGAAAGAGAGGTAAATATGGAGGAAGGGGGGAGGGAGGAGAGAGAGAGAGGGAGGAGAGAGAGAGAGAGAGAGAGAGAGAGAGAGAGAGAGAGCGAGAGAGAGAGAGCGAGAGAGAGAGAGAGAGAGAGAGAGAGAGAGAGAGAGAGAGAGAGAGAGAGAGAGAGGAGAGAGAGAGAGAAGAGAGAGAGAGAGAGAGAGAAACAATGACAGGAAAATTAATTAGTAGATATGTAAAGGGAATTCACTACATCACAGCAAAGCATTGAAGCAAAAGGGGTTTGATGCGTCAATGAGATGAGTGTTACGAATAAGAAATAAGATAACTGTGAAGAAAAGGATGAAAAAGAAAATCAATCAAATATTTGAGATGTAAAAAAATTAACTGTGATACACAGAAGTAAATGTATAAATCCTCTACAAAAAAAAAAAAAAAAAAAAAAAAAAAAACAAAAAACAAGAAAAATAATTCACTCACTGCATAATGAAGGAAGACCCAGCCATATTCGTATCTTTGTAGAAAAGTTATTCTACAATACCCCTGTAACCCTTGTGTATGTAGCATACAGCAGTGTCAATTGCTTTGCACCTGTATATTCCCTAGGTTATAAACACATTTTAGACATGATTGTGTCACTGACTGCATGTAAATCTATAAGGTTAAAGCACATTATACAGATTCCAAGTGGACAATACCTGAGTCCTTCAAGTAGAATTATATATTCCCATAACGCTGAAGTAAATGCATTTCCGATAAATTACCCTTTTTAATCAATATGTGATGAAAAGAAATATCCCAAAAGGCAAGGAAATTCGGTGTTTCAGGATTTCAAATGTTTTATCCAAATGTTCTTCATAATTGCTTCAATAACTGTAATCTATAATTAAAAACATATTCTTCAATTATAAAGATAATGAAGCTTTTCAGCATTTAACAAAAAAAAAAAAAATATATATATATATATACACATTCTGGTAGCCTGATGTAACAACTTGCACATAGCATGAACGAAAAGCATGAATCATTCCAAAACATGTGCCTTCCGATCAGTTACTTTCCACTTATATGCTATATTTCCTCTGATAAAATACTATATCCAAACATTATGGGGGGAAAAAAAAAAAAAAAAAAAAATTATATATATATATATACGGTCTGCAACATTGCTCAATCAGTTCCCACGATCGGACAATCTGAGATGGCCTCTAGCTCCATACGTCCGATGAATAGCGTTTCTGGTTAATCATTTTCTTGACGTAGAGCTCGGCTTCTCCCGGTGTCATCCCACCTTCAGTCTGGCAAATCTGGATAATCGCAGTATGGACATCTCTGGCCATCTTCTTAGCATCACTGGAATGAAACGAGACTTTATTAGCTCTCGTTTGGATATCACCCCCCCCTCCCCCAGAGAAGTTAGAATTTAAATTCACCTGCAATTATGACAAAGATTGAATGTTCACTTAGGAAGGATTAATTGAAACATGTCGATTACATTCATTACAATCTAAAGGTATTTTTTTCTTATTTTCCCCCTCTGTTCATAACCCCTGGATCTTTTAAAAGAAATACAATGTCTAATAATATTAAGTTGCCTAAAATTAACTAAACTATCATGGTTTTATAAAAGGATTCTTTCACTTACCCACAAACATACAGATGGCCATTTTCTTGTCCAATAATACGCCAAACCTCAGCCTTGTTCTGTTCAAGCAGGTGTGTTACATATACCTTCTCAGCTTGATCTCGGCTGAAGGCCAAATAAAGCTGAAAATAAAATAGAATTATCAATATAAACAGGTTTTCCTGAAGATGCAACTATGGAAAAAAAGAAAGAAAAAATCCAGCTCTGTATGTCCCTTTTCATTCAGACTATTTACAAAATTGTGAGGAAAGCATCCTAAATCTAAGCTAGTTAGTGCATCAATATACAAATGGATTACCTTCAGAAGGCCTGAGTCCTTTGCTTCATTCAGTTCATTCTCGTACAGGTAATCAATCGCCTTGTTCCGACATCCGAAGTATAATACAGTTTCACCAACAGGCTTTCCTGTGAGACAATGATTATCAATACAATAGACTGTTTAGAAACTATGTTGTAATAAATTTCTATACTCATTTCCTTGAGGTATGGGAGCGCTCTTATCAAAAAGGACTATATTTTGAAACTCTCAAATTTGTACTTTACTAGTGTCTAAATACACCAACATTTCCCCCCTTTAGCAAATATCAAAACAATATCAATGTAATACGAAAAGTACAATAAAATATTTCTTTATAATATTATGGAAATAAAACAAAAAAATAAGGCAAATATTTCTGATTATATTCATGACTATTTTGCTACGTATTTTCCCTCAAAAAATATTATTGTATCAAGCCTCAAATATTACAGTTTTCATTCAATAGTCATTTGTAATTACCTTCTTGACGCTGCCAACTCCTCTCTTGAATGAAGCCACGGAAAGGTGCGATACCTGTGCCAGGTCCTATCATGATTATAGGTGTCTGTGGCTTACTTGGTAACCTGAAAGTGAAAAAAAATTCAGTGCCTGTTCTTCATAAACACTTCAGTTCAAAAATCATACTAAGAATCTATTACGTTCTTGAAAGAAAAAAAAAAAAAAAAAAAAAAAGAAAAAAAAAAATACAGCAAATTCTGATACATTTCACTGGCTGCTTTATATCACAATTAGACCCTTCAGTGTTCTCACCTGAACTGTGATTTTCTGACGAAGATTGGCACATGATACTTGGTGTCATTCTCTGGTTTCAACTTGTACAAGTAATTTGTGCAAACTCCCTTGTTGGTTCTACCAGTTGGGGTTTCGTACTTCAGCACATTCGCCGTTACGTGGATTTTGGTTGGATGGAGCTTTCAGAAGATGTAAACACTCATTTCAAAATACATAGTAATAATAATGGACTCTATATCAAGTGCTAATCAGCAAATGCATATTTCCATAAATGTGTACTTCTTGTACTCTTAATGTTACACATCATTTATTCACAGCAAAAATCCTTGGCATTCCTCAAAATCTCTACCTTTCCAGAAGATGATATAGAGTAGTATCTGGCCTGGAGTCTTGGCAACAACTCGCAGATGTGATCCAGGGGCGGTTTGCAAGATGGCAAGTCCTCCAGAATGTGGACGATACTGCGGACATCATTTACAATCCACTTCTGATACTCCATCTTGCCCTCGTCACATGTACTACTCATAAGTTTAAGCTTCTCCTTTTCCTGCGGAGAAGTAATAATGACTGTCAAACTGTCTTGAAAGAGTTCAGTGTTTAAAATTCTAAGAAATGCAATAAAATCTTGTTGAGAGAAAAACAAAAACATTAAAAATTAATAATAGCTTTCTTCACGTTCTATATCGCTTCTATGAATAACCAAAATCATGTTTAACAAATCAATTCAACTCAATACAGTGTCTATAACATACAATATTGTACTTGCATCTCCAATAGCTACTTACTGCAGGATCTGATGTGTACTCAGCTAGTTCCTTGAGCACATGGGTTCTTGGCAGTGCTGTGATATCTACATAGTGTGAAAGAGCTGTGCGGTATGTACAGGGGCATGGGAAGGGATGTTTCTTGCTGCTGTCTTCATCTACATTTGTTAAAGAGAAAACTCTGTCTGGATCTTCATTGGTTAGCTCCAAAAGGCGGTTCACAAGAGCCGTGTCATTCACTGGGTAAACTGCTACATGGTCACCTGAGTCATATCTGGAAAGTGAGAGAACACATTTCACCAAGTGCTGACATTGGGAAAATTTACACAAAAGGATTCAGACAATGCACATGAAGGCAAACTCTCACTCACTCTCTCACTGACTGACTGACTCTCTCTCTATCTCTATCTCCCTCTCTCTCTCTCTCTCTCACACTCACAACAACTCACACTCACTCACTCTCTCACTCACACTTAAAAAAATTGAGTATATTGACAGAATCTGCTATAGTATCTGCATACCTTATCCTTGAACCTTCAACATCCAGCTCAATATGCATGCAGTTTCGTTCTCCACCGTTAAAGAGCTCCCTGTTAACAACGATCTCTGCCATGAAGGGATTTTTGGAGTCGAAAGGTGGCTTCTGGTTGCCAATCTATAAGGTTAAAAAATAAATCCAGGTAAGTATATGATATTACAAGCAAATATAGGACACAGAGGGTTGTTATCATCAACTATATATCATATCTGACATCAGCGAAATCTGTACCTTCAGGGAGTTGAGTCGAGCAAACTCTCCCGTGTACAGCTGAGAAGGTTCGTACTCTTCATGAATCTTTAGTTTGTACTGTCTCATGTTGATATCCAGTGCTTGGGCCTCAAAACCAAGGAATTCACACACCTGTAGAAGATAAAGTTAATTAATTAATCATTCTTGTCCACCAAGGATGATGAATCCATCAAAACACACTCGGGAATATGAGAAAAGAAGAAAGAAGAAGAAAAACGAAGAAGAAGAAAAGAAGAAGAAAAATGTATGCATCAAAACATACCGAGGAATATGAAAGAAGAAAAAGAAGAAAAATATAAGTATATACTATCATATTAATCTTACATGGGAGAGCACACACACACACAAATGAAAAAATAAAAATAAATAACTTAATAACTTAATAGCAATAAAAACTAAATATGGGATAAAAATCGTATCAAACCAAATATCTAAATCACAGCTGAAATACTCATAAAGATCTACCATCTTTACCTTAGGCCACATAGCATCCTTCCATGTGATGAAGTCGTCTTCCATATTCGCATCGTCATCACCCATGCCGAGCTCGAAGACACGGGTCGCCCCCAACTCTGCCAGTCGTTTGTCTACGTATTTACCCATGGCATTGTAATGTTCATAAGTTTTGTTACCCAAGCCAAACACCTGTCGATCAAAGGAAAACATAAATAGTGGAAATTCATCGTCCTTACATCATACAGTATTTTTACAAAAGGATACAAAATGTATTATAATTTTGGATATAACCTCTGAATCATTATCTTTTTTTTCCTGTACTCATAAATTCATCTCTATTATATCCAGCTACTTATCGACATAATATTCAATAAATTCATCAATCATATAATAAGATCAAAGCTTCTGTTTATCTAACATCAACATTTCTCTCTTAACAAACAACCAGTTTAGCCTTCCTACAAATTTCCGCGCAAATCAATCAACCTACCGTATACTGCAAACCATCCAGCTGGTCATCACCATTCTGGAGGAACTCGTAAAATTCTTGTGCATTGTCTGTAGGGTCTCCTTCACCATACGTGGCAACACAGAAAACTGCTAGATGATTTTCTATCTCTGTGAGCTGGGCGAGCTCGGACATATCACACTCTTCGGGGTCTGCTACCATACCCTGGTGAAATTTGTTAAGTTTAACAGTCACTCTCATTTCCCAACTGTATAAACATGGACTAGAATACTGACTTTCATTACTCGAAAGTCACTCTCTCCTTTTCTTTTCTAATAGTAAAAACTAATGGATTTTCAGCTTGGGGATATTACACATAATAAATAAGACATAAAATCATATTAAAATCAATACTTAAAACATGCATGCTTACAAAAATAATGAAATCAAAACTTGGTTTTTATTAGACAGTGGTTAAGCCTGATTAATAATACTAAAATGGAATAATGATAATAAAATAAAAATCACAGTTATGAAAAAAAGTGCATAAAATGAACTCAGACTAACATAACAAAGGCATCAAATAAAACATATCAATTAATATTCTAATAGCCACAACAACCAGTTTTTCTCACTTTCATTCCCCATCTTGTGGCATCCTTCGCGAGACGACCTGCAAATTCTTCTGCTGTTCCCGTCTGTGATCCATAAAAAACAATAACGTTCCTTCCTGACGACTTCATCTTGGCTACGAAGTTGCTGTCATTTGTGCGCATCGGTAATGAGGTTGGTCTGCAAAGAGAGAACCCTTACTCTGTGTCTCACTGGAAGATGAAGATGAACAAGAAGAAGAAAAGGAAGAAGATGAAGAAGAAGAAAAAAAAAGTTTAAGGGATTAATAATTTCTAACCCGGCAAATTAAAGATTTGATGCTACTTTACTTTTTACATCTTATCTATCTTCCTTATTATTTCTTATCTATCTTACATATGTATCTTTTTTTTTCTTTTTTAAAAATATGACACTACAATCAAAGATTAAAAGGAACCAGCTACACCAAAAACTCAAGATTAGTCCTACAATGAAAGCTTTAACAGACTACAAACCAATACTTACGATATCGTAAAGCTCTTCAACACTGGGACTTCATCTTTTTTGTTAGTGTCGCGGAGGAAGAAATAGTATACTGACACACCCGCAAGAAGGGAAAGCAATACCAAATCCAGCATTCCCACCAACGGCTCCTCTGCCATCTCCTCGGCTGCAGACGACGCAGCGTCTACCAATCTCTCTGTGCTCTCCTCCATTCTGAAACAGATTTTTAAAATGATATAAGAACATATTAAAGGAAATGTATTCCCCAGTTGGATTGGGGTGTTGAAGCTATTACTTTCAAAAGGTTTATTACATCACATCTAATGAGATATATCAGTGGAACTAACCAATTATGGACTATATTCAACATGACAAACTTCGAACGTGACGCATTTTTCTAAGACATCTTTTTTTTATTACTTCTCTTTGCCAGATGTCACCAAAATTTAAGGTCACTAAGTCACCAATAACAATAAAAAGAATCCAGCGTTTTGCTTCCTGGATTCCACAAAGAGGAAAAAAAGCGAGCCTGAGGTGATAATGATAAAATGAAGAAAGACACAGAGATTCAAAATTCAAATCTTTTTCTGGAGTTTTTCATTACTATATATGATGAGACTAATATCAAAAGGCAAATCATACTTTGGTGAATTTATCAAACTGCATTTCCAAAGGCAGTCATAGGACAAACCCAGTATCAACATATCCATCATTTGCAGTATACTCTCCGGCATTTTGCATCCTGGATTACACAGAGAGTATGAATACTTACTGATAGTAATGATCAAAATGGTAAAACTGCTTAACTCTTTAGACATTACCACAAATGACAAGGATGGCATATTTACTATCCCTTCAGTGATGGGCACATCTACTGCCATCATGATGTAATGGCCTGTGACATATATACACATCATGACTCGCAAAGAGCAAGCCCGCTATACACAGCTTAGGCCTAGCCACAAAGTCTAGACTTGCGTCATATCCCATCACAAAAAATTCAGGCCCCGTCATCATAGGGAGATATATATATATATAAAAAAATAAATATATATGGTTCCTTTTTCTGTACATCATACTATAAATATGTATTTAACATATCCTTTTTAGGTGAATGAATGGTTTAATTTGTAATGCCTAATATGGTAAAAGATTAACTGCTATGTTCAAGTGCAACATTTCAAGGCAGAGTTCTGATAACAAACATTCAATTCAAGATAAGAAAATGATGAAATGACATAAATGCAACTCAAGTGGTACAAAAAAAAATATTTCGTGTGTGTGTGTGTGTGTGTGTGTGTGTGTGTGTGTGTGTGTGTGTGTGTGTGTGTGTGTGTGTGTGTGTGTGTGTGTGTGTGTGTGTGTGTGTGTGTGAGTGTGTGAGAGAGAGAGAGAGAGAGAGAGAGAGAGAGAGAGAGAGAGAGAGAGAGAGAGAGAGAGAGAGAGAGAGAGAGAGAGAGAGAGAGAGAGTGAGAGAGAGAGAGAGAGAGAGAGAGAGAGAGAGTGAGAGTGAGAGAGAGTGAGAGTGAGAGTGAGAGTGAGAGTGAGAGTGAGAGTGAGAGTGAGAGTGAGAGTGTGTGTGTGTGTGTGAGCAATAATACCTACAAATTATACTATAAATACATATAAATCAGACATCATAAATACACATACATACATACATACATACATACATACATACATACATACATACACATACACACATACAAATCTATATAGCATGAGGAATTGCACTCTGATGGGTTTACATATCTAATGCCACCATTAACAAAAGGCACTAGATGAGCAAGATTCCATGCACTAACTCAACTGTCTACCCTTAACCCATTGTCAGCGGGTGACATGTACGCACATGCCATGGCTGCTTGTGGACAAAGTAGCAGGTGGCTCATCGGATGGAGCTTGTTTTTCTCCGGTAGTTGTGGCATCATTTCTATGGTAAAACTTTTAGGCAATAGCACCTAAAGTGAAGATGATCCTTTAAAATATTTAGATTTCTTTAAAATGATATCAAAATAAAAGCTTTAAGGTGCTTCATGTTACTCGCAACCAACGGAACCAGCCTGGCGCAAATATGGGAAACTGTCATTACCTGCCAACAACCTCGAGATCATGTCCACTTGCCAAACTTTTTTGGGTTAACAAAGAAAATTATTGTTCTATACCCCAAAACTGTGGGCTTGGCCCCTGGGGGGCCATAATCTGAGGACTATATTATTAAATTTCAGTCATTTCATTGTCTTTATTACTACTTCACAAAAGAACAAAAACCTTGCAAGAAATCAATAAAATCTCAGGAATTGCTAGAGGTTTATATATGGACCTATTGAGTGTAGGACTGTAGTCACTGTAGTTATGGGTTATGCCCAGCGGTGCATTTTACTAGCTTTCCTCAATATGTTCATTGATGAAATAGTTGTTTGATAATGAAAGTCTTTAATACAATATCTCCTTAAATCTGCTGGTGAGCCCTGAATTTACATTCTTAATGCACTGTTTTTCAGCAAAGGAATCATGGATTGTAAAACTGGAAGGGTAATGTTATCTATTTCCAGGAAGCATCGTGACCCCTAAACCCCCCTAATCTCATACCCATTGTTATTATGGGAAGGGGAGTAGGAGATAGATACTGAGGCCCAATGTAAGGGATCAGCCCTCGCCTCAACTAATTATGCATGGAAATTTTTTACTCCACCATACTTTTTCCTTCTCGTCTTCATTCCCTTCTTCTGTCTACATCCTAAAGCGAGAAAGCCGTGCTGAAAGGATGAGAGGCTGCACTTCAAACATTCCCACCCAGCCTGACTAAACTCCAATGAACCTCAAGGGGCAATAATAATCCTTTCATACCCCCCAGCCACGCACTTAGTTCCCCATGGTCACACAAACACACCTCTACTGACCCCTATCCCCGATAACATGACCTTATGTGATGCAGTGCAGCCACATGAGCTAAATGAATCCCCCCCTTACTATGTATCTCTCCACTAGAGGTAAATGCTCTACATCTATCTCTTGGATATTTAAGAATAACTTTTTATTTATATATTTTATTTTTTTCTATTTCTTACGCATGCAGAAAGTTTTAATGTCTTCATCGAGCAATTGTCAGGTGAAAGATTCACATGTCCCAGCATAAAGAATGAAACATATACTCATATTCATATTCTCTTCCATTCATACCTAAAATAATCATAAAAAAAAAAAACAAAAAAACTAATGGGGTAGAGAAATGGAAAGTAAAACAAATTACAGGAAAAAAATTGGAGATATGAAGTAGCAAGATTGCATCATTTTTCCCTCTTGGGTTTTTCCGCTTTTGTAAGCAATGATCAACATGTACACGCCATTCCTATTACCATGAATGTGTTTGTCACACGTGGTACTCTCATTTCATGAATGAATATCCAATAAGACTTATTGATGAACACCTGATGCCCTATAGATGAGAACAGGATCATATTTAAAAAGTATGGCAAAAGCTGTAGAAAACACACACACACACACACACACACAAAAAAAATACCTAGGAGAGGTAATATAAAGAGAGAGAGAGAGAGAGAGAGAGAGAAAATCTGGATAAAGTCAAAGTGAGGTCACAACTGGTTATCAAGGGCTGACAATCTATGCCCACGTGGCGAAATCCAACGATGCCCTAGTTTCCATGCTTTGTGCGCTGGCAAAAGTAAACTGACCTGAATCACGTACATTCTAGCATGAAAGAACTTGCTAACGTCCCTGGCTTTATATCAGCAAATAAGGAACTAGTCTATACTCATGGGGGAGTTCACTGGCCTTTGCTGGAGCCTGAAATGTAGAAGCCGTTGCATTGCTTCGTGCACACATCGTCTGAATAATTGCCTATTTCCTTTTAAATCATATAAACAATTGCCTACATCTTTTTTTCCATTATCTGAATAATTACCTATATCTTTTTATGTGCAAACAATTACCCTACTTCAATTTACAACAGTCTGCTTATGTTTCATCATTACCATTCACCTTTATTATAATGTGAAGATACTGTGCAATATCTCCAGGATAAAGCTGTACCCATAGTTCTGTAAAATACCAATCTTTTATCATTTTATTCAATTTTTATGGCATGGATGCAATAATTTGGGGCAAACTGAATATGATTTTTTGTAGAGGACAAAATGTTGCAGTTGTCAGTACAAGATATAATCTGCAGACATGAATGGTAATGACACAAATAAAGGTAAAATATCACGGAAAGTGCCGCTCTCAGCCAAAGTCCACCCGGTGCTCCCGAGTTTCAGCTCTTTCTTGCCGTGCACACCAAGGCATAGCCACCCCCATCAACTCTCCCCTCAGGCAGTACTTGAAGGGCATGCCCAGTCACAAGCAACTTAGACTGATGAATAAATTTACTGACATGGAGTTGGGGTCAGTCACTGGCATCCATACTGTAAAGAATTACCATCATTTCTAACTCAAGTTTGATGCTAATACACATACCTCACTTGAACGAGCAGTAACTGTTTATGAAATGCTGCACCCTCTCAGATCAAGTTCCTACAATTCCAGCTAGAAAGTTTGGCGTCACTCCTGGGAATCAACAAACATCACAATACAAACTAATAACCTCCCTAATCCTACCTAACAGCCATTTTTCCCAATTTGAAATAAAGAAATATATAAGGAATCAAGTGTCTTTTTGTAAGTGATAATGACAAACTGACTTTCAAACTTACAACTGCAAAGACAGTTTATGCAGGGTTACCATGTAGATAGACTGTTCACTGTATGTCAAGGTAAGGCCAGACTTAGTCTCTACGCAGCATTTGTTGCTGATCATTTTCTTCATTTCCAATGTTATTCTTTACCTTTGCCAATTTTATCATATATCAATGTATGTAGTTTTTCCATTTCTTTTATCTTTATAACATTAACAATTACACAGAACAGATCCCCATTTGTATTTTGTGCTTCGGCAGATATAATCTGGCCATCTAATACTGAAGTCTAGTCCCTCACTTGCTAATGAACTACCACGGAAGTTGTCAAGTTCCATCTTGTAAGAATATCAATCGAGTTTTGTGCTTGGTGGAACATCAATAGCAAAGGCCAGGCATTGCTGCTTCAAGCTGTGCAGGTACAAATTCACAATTTTGAAAAAAAAAAAAACAATTGAGGTCTTACCTTTACTTTTGGCAAATTATCATTCACACCTCTTAAATATTGTTTCTTATGTTCTACATGGCCAGTACCATAATTTTCCTCAAACTGTGCAAGTACCTTCTAATGGTGTTCTGCTTTTGCACACAGGTAAAGCCCATTTTCATTGTATTTACAGACAAGGCTTACAGTGGCCCCCTTGGAAACTGAGGAAATGACAAAGCTGAACTGCATTCCCCAAAGGTAAATATTGTACGGTAATTCCCACCAAGACAAAAAATAGTTAACATGGTGCAACTCACAGCTCATGACAACTTCTTTGAAAGACAACAAAAGATGTAAAAATTAAAGCAGTTTTTTTCTCTCTCACATATTACATACTTGGTTATCATCAAATTGCGAAGGTAATACCATAGATGAAAAGTGTCCTATTTTCGGTCAATACATTCATTCCGTGCAAAACTTTCCTTGTAATACATGGCTGTTGGAAACTGAAACTATGCCAAATTAAATATAATTTCAAAGGAGACACAAAGATATGAAACATAAATACTAATAATAATGCTTTTCAGACTACATTTAATGCCAGACAGTTCAGATAGCATGAAATAAAACTGGGATACAATATACATTAAGATTACAGACTGACAGATATTCAGACAAAGGAAATCACTTCAAATGTTTAAAGATATGAATTAAACTCCTTTCTTACATAAAACCTCCACAGAAAACTTTCTAAAATCACGCAAAAATACACAATTTGAAAGCATGCAACAAACCCCACTGTATTTTATGTAACACGTCGGTGCCAATTGCCTCTACATGTTAAACCCAAACTCTTTCATGTTCTGTTCACTAATTCACCTCTAATTCACTCGTCTCACCTTCTCTCACTCATTTCCACCACTGAGAATTTCCTCTTAGATCTGTCTTTCACTTCATAAAGCCCTCTCGACTCACGTAATCCCCCCAGACAAGTTAAAAAACCCTCAAATGTTTTCAAAAAACCGAGAGAAAAAATTACCTTTCTTTCACGCCACGTATTATTTTTTTTCCTTTTTCCCTCTTTCAACCCCTCCTTTTATTTCTCCTCTCGTGTCTGTTCACGTCTCTATAGTTACCTCTCTGTTGAAGATGAGTAGAGTTGCTCCCCAAGTTGTATAATGTCCCCTTACGTAAGGACGCGGCCGACAGCACCTTCCTTCCTCACGCCCGCATCAGACTACAGCTGATGGAGACGAGGGGATGGCTGCTCCTCCCTACAGGGTCACGCGGGGGACTTCTTCCTATCTCTGGTTGGGGGGAATCCACTTATCTTGTGTAAATACTCGGGGATTTAAGACTTGAAGGTGGATTTTTATGGTTTTATATGGTTTGGGGTATAGGTTTGAGGGTTTTGGGGGTTTAGAAGGGGGGAGTTAAGGTGGGTGGGTTTGGTGTAAAGGGTTCGGTTTTGGTCCACCCTGTACCCGCGGGTGACCAAGCCTGTCACCCAAGGCCAAGGCTTATGTCGGCTTGCTGGTGAAAATCTCTCTTCCTCGAGGTTCTTATGAATTCCCAGGCATGTGTATTTCGAATACGTGTTGGCCGTTGGTATGGCGAAATAATGTAGAGTTCGCTGTTCTTCGCAAATGATTTATGCAAATATACATCGTTCAGTTTTGAGGAAGATTTTTTTTCCAAACTGTTGGTGATTTACCTGTGATTTTTGAGGGTTGTCATTTGTATAGAGCATCTCACAGGAAACTGGAATAAGCTGGTAAATATTTATTATCGGATATACAAAGGGAATATGCTTCCGTACTAGAGCTATGGTAAAAGTGCAAAGTCATGCTTGATTGCACATTCACTATGATATAGTAGTTAAGAACCGACTGCATATATCACAGTAATTATACCACAGTAATGTACCTTCATTGGAACTGGAACAAGCATACATTAAAAATTCAGAATCAGTAATTTTCAGCGCCATTAAAACACCTAAATCTTTAGATAAAATGAGACAGGATTTATGAATTATTTATTCATTAATTCGACGATTTTCTCGGCTGTTATCTCAGTTTAAACGCAACCCTTTTAAATAAAACACACAGTAACTCTAAAACATTTGCATAAGAACCGTTTGCATGTTAAAAATTCAGAGCACAGGTTGAGTTGTTCTGACGTAATATGAATAAAAAATGTCCAAGCAATTTATTTACCTGTTTATCTGCCAGTCTACCAAATCCCGTGCCTCTGTGTGTGCGTGTGTGTGTGTGTGTGTGTGTGTGTGTGTGTGTGTGTATGTGTGTGTGGGTGGGTGGGTGGGTGGGTGGGTGTGGGTGCGTGCGTACGTGCGTGCGTGCGTGCGTGCATGCGTGCGTGCGAGCGCGCGCGCGCGCGCGCTTTGTGTGTGTGTATGTGTGTGTGTGGGGTGTGTGTGGTGTGTGTGTGTGTGTGTGTGTTGTGTGTGTGTGTGTGTGTGTGTGTGTGTGTGTGTGTGTGTGTGTGTGTGTGTGTGGTGTGTGTGTTTGTGTGTGGTGTGTGCGTGTTTGTACTTTCAAGTGTGCAGTGTGATAGAGCAGATCAATAGACATTCAACTGTGTAAGCAAGTATATTGCATTGTTCTCGATCTTTCTCAAGTTTGTTAATTAACTCATCCACTCTCCCTCTCTTCCGTATCCCCCCCCTCCCCTCCTCCCTCTCCTCTCCTCTCCCTCCCTCCTTCCTCCTCCCATTCTCCATCTTCCTCCCTCCTTTCCTCCTTCTCTCCCTCTCCGCCCCACTTTCCTCCTTCTCATTCTCCCTCTTTCTTTTCCTCCTCCCTCCCTATTCTTCTCATTATCCCCTCTCCCTCCTCCTTTCCTCCCTATCCTCTCCCTCTCCCTCTCTCTCCTTCCTCCTTCCTCCTCTCCTCTCCCTCTCCCTTTCTCCTTCTCCCTCTCCTTCTCATTCTCTCTCCCTCTTCTCTCTCCTCTCCGTCCCCCCCCTTTCCTCCTTCCTCCCCTCCTTCTTATTCCCCCTCGCCTTCCCCTCTCCTTCTCTCCTCCTTTCTCCTCTCCTCTCCCTCCCCTCCTCCTCCCCTCCTTCCACCTCTCCCTCCTCCTCCTTTCCTCCCACCTCCTTCCCTCCCTCTCCTTCTCATTCTCCTTCTCCGTCTCCTTTCCTCCCATCCCTCTCCTCATTCTCCTCTCCCTCCTCCTTTCCTCCCACCCTCCTTCCTCCTCTCCTTATTCTCCCTCTCCCTTTCTCTCTCTCTTCCCCATCCAAACCTTCCCTCTCGTATTTCAGTTACGCGCTTACTTCACACAAATTCGTAATATTTGCTTCGTGTCTCAGAAGCGAGGCAGACACGGCGATCGCACGTATGCAAAGTAAGAAATGTTTGCAATGGCAGAGTGGGAGGCAACTCTCTCTGTCTCTGTCTCTGTCTCTCTCTCTCTCTCTGTCTCTGTCTCTCTCTGTCTCTGTCTCTGTCTTTCTGTCTCTCTCTCTCTCTCTCTCTCTCTCTCTCTCTCTCTCTCTCTCTCTCTCTCTCTCTCTCGTCTCTCTCTCTCTCTCTCTGTCTCTTCTCTTCTCTCTCTCTCTCTCTCTCTCTCTCTCTCTCTCTCTCTCTCTCTCTCTCTCTCTCTCTCTCTCTCTCTCTCTCTCTCTCTCTCTCTCTCTCTCTCTCGGCACAAAGGAATTCGTTCATCCTTTCTTACGTGCAGGATTGCATGCCCGGAGTTCCTGTGTTCTGTTCTAACGCCTATGTGTGTTGTGTTTTTTTTTTTTTTTATAAGCCTATTTCATGGTATTTCGTGCGTGTAGGTCTACATATTCCTACGACCCTATCCATTTCTACCACGCGCGGTCAGACTACTTGGAAAGCGAGTTCTTAATTTCCAAATCAGATATTGCAAATGGGATAGAATCAATTGAAATCAGATCTCGAGAAGGCGAAGCGGTTGCAAAAGGATGTGCTGCTTGTTGAGTATATTCAGCTATCTCTTTCCAAGCATTTGCAGTCGTCACGTCCACCGAAGTGATGTAATAGTGTGCGAGAGCAAGAGGGCGGACTTTTAAAAGCTATCGGCCTACCTTTTCTTTTTAGACAGGGTATTAAAAGTCGCCTTGTTCGTGTTTCTTAAACTTACTTGATTTTTAAAAGTCCTATCGGTTTAACTTATTTTTCTTTTTAGAAAGGTATCAAATATTGCCTTTGTTCGGTGTTAAACTTACTAATTTTTAAAAGAGCTACTCGGCCTACAATCTTTTCTTGTTAGATGGGGTATCAGAGTAATATTTGCCTGTTTCGTAGTTGAAACTTAATAATTTTAATTGAAATAAATCTATTGGCCTACCCATTATCTTTTAGAATTAGGGTATTAAATATTGCCATTGTTGCGTGTTCTTATAACTACTGAAATTTTTATAAATCTATTGGCTTTTAAAACCTAATCTTTCTTTATATATATATAGAAAAAAGGTATGCAAAATATTGGCCTTGTTCGTTCGTTAAATTTAATAATAAGAAAAAAAAATATTGGCCTAGCATTTTCTTTTTTTCGAACCGACGGTTATTGAATTCGCCCCTTGTCGTTTGCTGCTTCTAAACTTACTGATTTTTCAAAAGTTCTAAATCGGTTTACTAATTTCTTTTAGAAAAGGCTTATCAAAATTGCCCTTCGTGGTTAAACTTATTATATTTTTTTTTTAATATCTATCGGCCTATTCCATTTCTTTTTTGACAAAGGGTATTAAATATTGCCTTGTTCGTGTTAAACTTAATATATTTAAAAAAAGTCTAATGCAAGGTTTACTATTTTCTTTGGGAAAGGTATCAAATATTGCCTTGTTCGTTTGTTATAACTTATTAAATGTTTTTAAAAGCTATCGGCGCGCTAACTTTTTCTTTTTTATTTTAGACAGGGTATTAAAATGTTGCCCTTGTTCGTAGTTCTTAAACTACTGTGAATTTTTAGAACTTTTTTTTTTAAAAATCTATTGGGGTTTTCTATTTCTTTTGGGACGAGGGTATGCAAAATATTGCCTTGTTTCGTTGTTAAACTTAAATAAATTAATAAAGAAGTCTAATCGCCTACCTTTTCTTTTAGACTAGGGTATAAAATTTGCCCTACGTTAGTTCGTGTTAAACAACTTACTGAAAATTTTTTTGAAAAAATCCTATTGGGTTTATAAAACTATTATCTTTTTTGGGAAAGGTATCAAATATTGCCGTTGTTGCGTGTTAAAGCTTAATAATAAAAAAAAATATATATACTATATATATATAGGCCTAACGCAATTTCCTTTTTTGAACAAGGTATTAAATAATTTGCCGTTGTTCGTGTTTCTTAAACTTACCTAGGAACTGTATTTTTAAAAATCTATTGGTTTTACTAAATCTTTTAGAAAAAGGTAAATTAAATATTACGCTTTGTTCGTGTATCTTTAATTACATTAAGTGATTTTTTTTAGATTGTCTAATCCGGGTCGGGTTACTAATTTCTCTTAAGAAAAGGATAAAGACAAACAATGAAATATTGCCAGTTGGTTCGTGTTAAACCTTAATAATTAAAAAAAAGTCTATCGGCTACTATTTTCTTTTAGACAAGGTATCAAAATATTGCCTTGTTCGTGTTAAACTTAATAATTAAAACAAAAAATATTGGCCTAGCATTTTCTTTTTTGACCAAGGTATTAATATGCGTTGTTGCGTGTTCTTAAACTTATCTTCGATTTTTAAAAATCTAATCGGTTTTATCTATTTTCTTTTAGAAAAAAGGTTATCAGATATTGCGCAGTGTTCGTGATTAAACTTAATAATTTTAAAAAAGAGTCTATCGTTTAATCTATTTCTTTTAGAAAAGGTATCAAATATTGCCTTGTTTCGTGTTTTAAACTTAATAATTTTAATTAATCTTTTTGGGGCCTAGCATTTTTCTTTTTGAGCAAGGTATTAAAATATTTGCCTTGTTCGTGTTTCCTAAACCTTATTTCAATTTTTAAAAAAATTCTATCTGCCTACCGCATTATCTTTTTAAGCAAGCGTATCAAATATTGCCCTTTGTTCGTGTTATCTTAATTAATTTTTTTAAAAAAATCTAATCGGCCCTACCATTTCTTTTTGACAAGGTATTAAATATTGCCTTGTTCGTGTTCTTAAACTTACTAAATTTCGAGGAAATGTATTCGCGGGGTAGAAAAAAATCTTAGTATTTATACCCATACCAAGACCACGAGATATATATCAAGTAATTTTGACTCACGTTTTTTTCAGCTAGCCTCTGCCAGGAAG